CCCCGATAAAAATCTAAACTTATCGTTCAGAATTCGATATAGTATGTTCCAACTACGGTGGGCGCTGCATCGAAATGTAGTAGCATCCCATAGTATCGAATTTCACCGATATTTACCTGGTTTTTTGAACGCAGTCCGAAACTCAAATTTGAAATATTCCAGAAGATCGATGAAGGAGATAAAAGCGGAAAGAATGCCATGATCGCGTGGGAGGTGGACGTTTGTTTCAATATTGAATCGACTACTATTTTATGTAAAATCGCTTTAACCGGAGACACTGGTTTCTGTATTTTTTATTTCTAAATCGATTCGGTTTCACTAACTTGATTTTTCTTATAGGTATATTAATAAAATCGAATTATTATTGTCAATGGTCATATACAGAGTGACACAACTATTTCCCCATAATCTTTATTCAAATTAACCAACCCAAGCGTATAATTACTCCTTGTAAATCATCCCTGACTGTCATTCGAATCTCGTTCTTCGAAAAAATAAATAATACCCTAAACACTCGACTTTCGAAATATCCTCTAAATTCCGAAATTGATTTTTAACCGTTTGACCCGAGAGGTTCGAGGGCGTTCCTCTAATCCCAGGCAAACAGAAACGCCACAATAGTCGCAAGTTTGTACTCAACAATAATCTGTTTGGTTCCCGGAACGATTTCTATTGTGTTTGCTTCTAGGAATTTTACACTTTGTGTGCATTGTGTCCTCGCTGAAGGAAAACCTTAAACTGCTTTCTAAATACGGTTAATGCTGATAAGTGTTGCAATTCGTAATCGTTTTAGTGGGCAAAGATGAAAAGTTTACCGTAAGTCAGTACCAAAAAAAATCAATGGTAGACTGTAAATCTATACCATAAATATTTGATAGAGAAAATAAAAATTAAACGTATATCATTTACGATGCAAACAACAAGGAAATTGATAAAATGTCTACAACGCACCCCGTATAAAAACGTCGATCATAAATATTAAACACTTTCCGCATCGCGAATGAAAAGGACCTCTTCGATAAGGGCCGGAGCCACAATAGACTAACGACTATTTTGACATGAGTGCCCTGGAGAACGTTCGACGACAAAAAAGGGAGTCTCGCACATGTGGACACCCCAGAAATTACGCGTACAATGTGCGAAACGACCTACAGTAGTCAAGTAGGCTGTATGATTACCGATTAGCTCCCCTAGTGACGAGATTTCGAACGACACTCGATTCATGAGTGTCAATCGGTGGCAGACAACGTGTTAAAAACCGCGAGTTAAAAAACTCAGATCAGAGTAGAGAAATATTTTTGATTTTCTTAAATAGTTTCTTTGCAGGTATAAGTTGTGAATCACCCTGTACATGCCAACTCTAAAGTTAGAGCTAACTGTCCCCTTCGGGTGTTATTGATAAAAATTGACTGCATAAACGTCGGTGGTAAAAGATGGTAACGAACTTAAAAAGATAAGAGGAACATCTCAATATACACCCAATTTCGAATTTCTCTAACACTTAAAATCCGATAAACATCGACTATAAAATTCCATTCTTGCGGCTGGTTCGTCATTGTTAAACGACACTCTGAAGATGTTTATCTAAAACCGAAATCTCCTCGGGGACGTCGAAGGGCATTAAAATTTAAAAATTGTTATTTTGGATACAAATGGGTAGCAAATACAACGTCAGTAGTACCTAATAACTCAAAGCAGCATAAGAAAGTAAGTAGTTAAAACTGGTAGAACATTAATTTCTAACAAATCCCGAAAATTACAACATTGGAATAACGAAATAACACAATAAAATCGACCCCGTTTACTCCAACCCAGCGTTCCCTGTCTACCCCTTTTCGGGGACGAATAAGGCCTAACAGAATGTAATTACAACCCCTCGGGGCTGCAAATCAGTTTTGCCAACAAATGCGACTCCCTTGCCGCACCCCATTTACACAGCATAACACCGTTTATTCTCTTTCGCCACTTTATACACACTGTTTGTTAAGTTTACGAAAGCAAATATAATTAAAGGACAAAAAATTATTATATTCAAACTACACCAATATTTAATGAATTTGGTAAATGAACAAAATATCTTGTACCTTTTGACTAGAATTGATTGGTAGGTACATTGTGCAAATTTAGATTTTCTAAATTAATTATTTATCTGGATAGAAATCAATTTACAAAATGTCTGGATGGATATGTTACTTAGACTTTATAGTATTTAAATAAGGTTTTAGTCACATGATCAAATTTGCTATTGAACTAATGTGATTGTTAAAAATTTTATATAAAAAATATATATGCAGTATTAATTCGGCCCTGTGTACATTCAGATCGTATTTACTAGCAGTAGTTCATCTCAACAAAACTCGGTGTAATCTGAATAATGCGATCATTATGCGAGCGTTTCGTTGCGGAAGCGCAATTCTATTCAAATGTGGCATTTCGGCGTGTTCGAGGGGCCCGAAGGACTTCATATATCTGTTGTGGTTTTCGGGGTTATTTCTCGATACTTACTCGACTGGAAAAAGATTATTCTCTCTTTATATACTCGAGGAATCTAGAGAAAAAAACTACTCGAACGCTATTCAGATCTTACACAAACGGCGAAAGAATTAGGTATTAATATTGTAAATAGAGATATTTAAGACACAGAGGTGATAAAAGAAGAAAAAATATACTGCAATTAAGAGAAATGTATAGAAATACTCTTTTGTAACGTTTAAAGTCCATATAGGTAGAGATTGAATAAGCATATTATAAAATAAAGAGTTTTGATAGAATATTCCACATGTATTAAGTAAGGAAAGATAATGGAGGGTATAGTTTGTAAACTATTACAAATACTTCTAATACATGAAGTATCTTCTTTTTGAGGGCTTATTATATTATTGGAGTATTGTATATTTGAAGGCCCGACCCTGCGTTATGTGCCCAACAACACTCGATGTTCTCAACTCGAGATTTTCGCCTCTCGACCTCTCTTTACTACAGCGCACACAAATGCATGCACAATGCACAATATTTACCTGAACGGTGAATGGTCGGTCGTCCGAACGCGACGGAAAGAACGCAACGAACTGTGTTCAGTGCGTTCGGGACTGGGATTATCCCGGCGCTTTAATGCACTTATTACATTCAGAACTTGAAGAGGAAACTTTTTAAGAGCTGTTTTGTCGGTCTTTACACCTTGTTGGTAAACCCGAGTACGACAAATTCCTTTCGTGCGATGCGGAAAGAGGAGATTTCGCGCCGAACAAGACGCGTTCATTCATGTCCAGTGTTTGTTTAGGACTCGTTAAAAGTAGCTACATAAATAGTCGCTACTTTCCACATTCTCGGTGTTAATTTATGGAAAATAGGCGTAAAATAATAATCTATAATCTCAACAAACATACACTTTTATACATAGATCAGTTAATTTTCTGTCTCGTTCGCATCGAATGGGATTTCGACCCAACCCTGTTTCATTGATGCGTAATATAAATGCCCCCGATAATGCAGTATAAATAATTCAGAGCCGAGCGGATTATTCAAATACTACGTCTGGTTCTGGCGAGCCATTTATAGGGCTATTACGTAAGGGGGAGGTTCATGAGGGAAAGTAAGACAACTAGCAGATGGGCAGATGGATTCCCGGTTTCTCTTGTAAACTGTATCCACGCGATTCGCACCCCGAAACCCGTCGGGGTTGTGAAAAAACTCCGACCAATCCTGCAGATGATACAAGGGAGCCATTGGTATATTTTGTTAGCGTAGGAAGACTTTTAATTACTGTTCGTAATTCGATATTACTAGGTTATTACAGACATTCTAGTATCTAATTTACTATAGATTATTGCGAATTTTAAATTATTTCAATCTTCTAAAGGTAAATTCTTTAAGCAAATATTTGCAATTTTTCGGAGAAATGAGTTAACTGTTATTCTATTTGGGTAAGCAATTTTCCAAACAATATTTCTGGTTTTGATTATGATTCTTAGTATATGGGTATAGGGTTTTAAAGAAGCATAAGTTCATAATAATATACTAACTTTCGCTTACATTTACAATGTAAGCTTACTATCCTTCTGCACACATAATTTTGAGATGTTGTTGATTGGCTATTGTTAAAGTCATTTCTAACAATGAGACTTACGGAATATTACGATAAAAAGAACGGTTACTTTTAAATTTCTTGTCCAAACAGAATTTAGAAACTTTTAAATAAATTAGTTATAATCCTCAAGAATAACGGTTGTTGGTTGTTGGAAAATTTAGGCAATGGAAAAAATCATTGTTGATTTACAGAATCGATGCTTGCTTATTACATTTTAGAAAGTAATTTGATAGTATACATATGTATAGAGATGATTAGAGGAATATTTATTGGCTTTATTTGGATAAGTTAAAAATAAAATATGTTTATTCAAATGTAAACAGAGATTTTGAATTGATTTTAGCAACCTCCCGAGCGACGGAAAGAAAATTATAGATATAATATACATAGGCTGATCAGGTTGGTTTTTTACAAACGTGACTATTTGTTTAAAGGCATTTAAAGGCTTTCAAATAAGATTGAAAATTTTAAATTAATTTTGAAACATAATTTCTTTGCGTAAACACTTGGTTTTCATCAATGTTATAAGGGAATATTTTCTTCTAATTTCAAAAAATATTTGAAATTTTATATTTACTTACAGCAAATTTAATCAATACATGCATTTAATCAAATAAGATCTGAATAGCATGTTTCGGATTATGCCAGGTTGAACTTGTCTTATCACAACGTATTGAAGTAAAAAGCCAATGATTATAAATCATTGGTTTTTAAATAATTCCCAAGGAGAATGAATGGGTATTAAATATGCTGTACAACAGAAAATAACGTTTTTATACCTTCATCTACTTTGATCACCGTCATCACATCATTTAATAAGTGGAAGATAAGAGAAATATTATTGGTATACCTACTTATACGACAGATATTATCTTAAATTTTCAGTCAATGAAATTGACAAAATCGCACTTACCTGTATGCGTCCTTTTGTGTATTTTCAAATTCTCACTTCTAGCGAACACCTTCCCGCAACCGGGAAACGGACACGGAAAAGGTTTCTCGCCCGTATGCACTCTAATGTGATTCACCAGTTTATACTTGGCCTTAAACGGCCTACCGTTCCTGCTGCAGTTCTGCCAAAAACAAGCGTGCGTTGTGCACTCCGGCCCGCCGACGTGTTCCACCGTCAAATGCGACACTATTTCGTGCATGGACGTGAAATGTTTACCGCACGATTTGCGAGGAGGCGGCTGATCGGGATCGATCCACAAACATTGCATCTCCTGCTTGATGGGCTGCCTCATGTACCTGAAGAAGGCGCCGTGCACGTTGCCCGGATGATGAGGCATCCCCATGTGCGGGTTGAGATACTGGTGGTGATTGGGTTGGGTGTGATAGGCGGCGTGATGATCCGTCCTGGAATACAACATCTGGTGATGGGGCGCTAGGTGAGGATTGTGGTGCGGCGGCATCTCCGTGTGATGATGGAACAAAACGGGATCGCTGGGCGCCGTCTGGGCAGTGGGAAACTCGTGGTGATCTCGTCGCAAGAGGAAATCTCTGGCGGCGTAGCCGGCGTGAGGGTTCAGATGGCCCATGTGGCCGTAGTTCGATTGGAAGTGGTTCTGGTGGCCGGGACCGACGTCGGGCGCCGTCATCGCGGCGGCCGGGTTCTGGTGCGGCGACGGTATGCTGCCGGCGCCTCCTTGGTGCGGACCCGGCGACATCTTCAACCCGTACGTGGCCAGGTGATGATGACCGGAGTCCATGAACGCGTTGATCATCTTTTCGATTCGCCGAAAAACCGATATCACTTCGAAGGCATTTCGCACTCGGTGCGATTAGAGATCAATGGGTGTTAAGTCTGTCGCGATAGGGTGACCGTTACACGCGGCGATCACAGCTTGACTGAAACAGCAGAGGGCCATTCTTCGGGCGATGGATCTTGGTGGGATGGAGCAGTCGTCGATTGGACGAAAATAAAAGGAGATACGGTTGGTGGAATAACGACGACGGCGCGTAGTTGGTCCTTTCGAGACCAATGGAAATAGAAGGGCGTCCGGTAACAACACGTTGCTGTTTTAACTTGTTGATTTTTAGACGCATTTTTGGAATGTTGATTGGAAATATAGTTTTATTTATCTAATATCCTCGTTGTTTGTTTTTAATATATTAAATGCGGAAAATAATAAATAATTTACCAATAAGATTAATCCAAATCGAAGGTGTTAACTAATATTATGTGCTAGATAAATGTCTCACTTAAAGTATAAAAAAGCGAAGTATCTTTTATCAAAATGTTTACCACTGATCAACTAATAAATTATAAATGAATGCATTAATGACTTACCGAAATTCTAGAAGAAATCGTTGAAATCTGGTAAAAAGGCATAATCTGATCTTCATATTTATTATTGCAGTACACAAAAAGGCGATGAAACGAGTAAGTATCAAAAGCCTTAATAGGTAACACATATTTCAAAATAAGAGGGTTCAATGATTTTGTTTTTACCTGTAAGAAAATTTAGTACTATCAACAACTTGGTTCATTTCAGTTTGCAATAAGGTCATTTCTATATGAGTTGAACAAAGAAAGATTGTAAATGACTAACTAAAATGACAGTTGTCAGAGTGAAAAGTTGCAATGACACAATATCACTCTTTCTTTTTCCTTTATATGATGTCTAGAAGTTGTCTTTATCACACCCATAGCCTATACAGGGTGGCCCAGCATACACGCCCCACCAAGAAATGCCTTATGGAAACGACAATGGAGATGACAAAACTACATCAGCCAAAAACATTAAAAAGTTATTTCTTTGGTAAATAAAGAGGTTTAAAATTGACCAATCCCAGTAACAGTTCACATACGTGAAAATGACGTGAAATAGCTATACACCAATTTGACATTATTGAAAGATTCTATGTCTTTTTACTTTTAAGATTAACAGAAGCTGCCAAAATCAGCTGCGCCTATTTATCAAAAATTTGCTTTCAAATTGATCAAAAAATGGATCATTCGATTCGAACCACTTTTAAAGCAATAACAAATTCTGTAGGTTTGGTATCAGCACGACAGAGCTCCTGAATGATCGATTTAGAAGCAAATCTTTGATTAATATACAGCTAATTTTGGCAATATCTCTTCTGTAATATCCATTTGACCAGTAGAATTTTGATTGTACGAAAACGGTTAAAACTACAGTTAATATTCATAAAAATTAATTCAACACGTCAATGTCACAACGAATTCCCTATTTTTCTTTTCCGTTGCACTTGAAAGTGTGTATATGCAAACAAAGACCTTGAATTGACAATACTCAAAAGTGAACAAAGCAAAGAGAGCGAATAATGAGTGCTTTCGAAATCTTAAGGGTCGAAAATGGCAATTACCAGTGGCGAAGTCGATGAAATTTTCTACTTTTATTGGTCTATACTCTATAGAATACCTACCTACCAGAAGTTTGCTAAATTTTTTGACTTTCTTCGTTGAAATACTTTACAAAATATTACCTTTCAGGGAGTTAAGTAATTTTCTCTGTTAATGTAATTTTGTTTAATTAGTTTTTATTAAAATGGTTGTTAAAGAGTATAGGTATATGAAAAACTGGCAAATTTGAAAACATTAAATAACAATAATAATTTAGAGAGGAGTTACCATTATACAGGAACAAAACAGAGAATAGGTACTTCAAATGAAAGATTCTGCAAGTATGGTATTAATATAACACCAAGGAAACCAAATAATGAATAGATTTCCTCCGTCACTGCTCTAAAAGAATAACGTACAAGAGCGTAAAATAAAGTCAAAACGACAAAGAGTCAACAATCATCACACATCACCTTTTATATTGTCGACAATGAAAAGCGAACTTGCGATATAATGCGCGCACCTAGACATTCAAATCTCATTTCCCACGGATCTAAGACGACTATTGCGATTATATTTGGCCCTCTTTCGGCCGGAAGTAACACGTGCTGGCCCTCCGTAATTACAATCGTAATGACAATAGGACATGCATTGTACCGGCAGTTTATAGGAATTTCCAAAAGCTCAGCGCGATATTTTTCTCTTACCATGTAATTACGTTTCTTCAATAAGGGTTTATTTTCCGCAGGGTTTCGCCTTTTTGCCCTTTGACTTCTTTAAGGGACTTTGAAATAGGGGATACATTTTTTAATGTGTATTATACAAAAGGCGATCGATTTTGGTCGGTTAAACGATTTTTGTAACGTCTCGAAATGGATAAACGGACCAATTTAATACCAACTTCCCAAAAAAAGTTTCAATTATTTGTATAGCTACCAGGTAGAATAAAAGTAGGTACTTACTGAAAGCATAATGTGTATTCAATATTTTATGATAATCATCACACTTTCGGTTTTTATATCCGTTAATTCTAATAAAATTTGTTGGTACAACAAAAATATTCCTCTCTTCTTAGTTTTTACACAGACTTAATTAAAAGTAATGGTAGAAATTCGTGCACAATCACCCCCTCTTCGCCTTCGCGATCGAACTAAAACATTCGAGCTATAAATAAAGCGCTTTAACGAAGCGAAACAAAGCAATTAGAGGAAATTGTCGGCGATGATATAACCCGAAGTGGCTGGTTACGGTATGCACTCTCACCCCCACTGATACTCGCTCCTAATTGAAAGGGCAATTATCGTCCCTCGGCGTCCATTAGCGGCGTGTACGGGGATATGGATGCAATTAATGCCATTATCCTTACTTTATAAACCACTTCCTTCTGCTTTTCGCCGATCGCTCTCCGGCCTTACATATGCGATCTTCCTGTCGAACCAGCGGGATGCTTCGTACGCCCGCATACCCAGGAAGTTATAAATGTACTTATTGTATATACGTGTCGATTATAAAAATGTAAAATCCCTTTTTGGGTCGTACTTTACCCTTAATCCCTTACCGGAATTGCCCACCGAAAAATAACAAATACCCTAATTGACTACCTTAAAACTTTAATTTTAATTTAATCAAAAACAGATTGCTCCATTTTTCATTGCAACATAGGCTATGGGTACAACAAAGACAACTTCAGTTAGACACTTATAAAGGAAAAAGAAAGAGTGACATTATGTCATTGCAATTTTTTACTCTGACAACTGTTATTTTAATAATCTTTCTTTGTTCAACTCATAGAAATGTCCATGTTCCAATCGCGAATGAAGCACGGTGTATATTTTGGGGTCACATGGGACTAGTGTCAAAAAGTATAAGCGAAAATTGTTGGTTATAGAGAGTATAAAGAGTTATAGAGAGTTATAGACGGTATAGAGAGTATAGAGAGTTTAGAGAGTATAGAGAGTATAGAGACTATAGAATGTATAGAGAGCATAAAGAGTTATAGAGAGTTATAGAGAGTATAGAGAGTATGGAGAGTTTAGAGAGTAGAGTAGTTTTGGGGAATACCTATACCAAAAAAATGTAACAAATTTTTGATACGAATTTTTGTAACGAATTTCTGTATCTCGCGGATTGAATTCAGATGAATTCTGTGCGAAGTTATTATTTAACATATTAAAATTAATTCCTTTAATCTACAAGGAATGGAAGAAACGAGGAATTACAAAGTCACTGTTAAAGTAAATGATGGTATTGTTGGCATAAAAATTATTAATTAAGGTTTATCAACTTTTCTTCTTATTTAAAGTGGTGTACAACACAATACGTTATAACAACTAAAATCATGAGAACCTAATTCACCGGAATAAATTTAACATTTAGAATAATAGTCCAACAAATCACGAGCGCGTAACCACGAAAAAAAAACAAATAAATAAATAAAGAGAGAAGCGGCGCTATCACATAAAATTAACCGAAAAGAAGAAGAGAGACGCGTATACACATACAAAAAGCCGGCCATCGTAAAATATGAAAACAAATGCATCTCGGTTAATCACAATCTAGAAGGCTCCGTAGCGAAGGTCCGACGAAATAAATAACAGACGCACGAAACGAATGTCTCGATTATGTAAATGCGACGTTTCGAACGTTGGAATCGAGATTTACGAGCGGGAATCTATATGCGCGAAACGTCGAACGAGAAAAAAATCGTAACGAGCCGTTTCGACAAATTATTCGTCGAGAGGATTTGATTAATTAGACGCAGGAATAGGAATTCTATATACTCCGATTTGTTCATTCCTATGAAACAGCTAATTCGAAGAATATACCTAATAATATACTAAATAAAAAAATGTTTCCTATAGTAGGGGGTTAGCTAGATACTTACTATGTCTAAAACAAGCACAATATTTTAAAGTACGAGGGTGGATCAAATATAAACCGGAATTTTCTTCTTAATCCCTTTAGGTGAAGTGAGTTAGATGACGTCTTGATATAGGTATCCCTATGTTGCATTAGGATGTAAAGTTAAGGTGAGTAAGTCAGTTCCGCTCGTTAGAGCCGATTGGCTGAGCAAGAGGTGCACAGGTTTATTAAGCAACACATTATTATTAGAGAGCATAAAACCTGCCAAAATGTTGCATCGAGTAACTGCACAGTTCACTGGACACATGCCTTCAAGGATCCATGTCCATTGGCAAAAAAATTGGGAAAACCTGTAGAGGAGCAGGACTGGGACAAGCCAAGATTCGTAGTTTTGCTGGAGGCATATTGCTCATAGATTTTCTTCATGAATGACCTATCTAGATAATGGTGTGTACTGCTGCCAACGTTTTGATTAAATGAAGCTGGTCTATCGACGAAAAAGACAGGACACTTATTCGAAGTGCGATTTTACTCCATGGCAACGTTCGGCTATGCACAGCTGCATTAACTCAAGAAAAATTGGACAAATTGCATTGGAAAATACTCTAGAACAACCACCCTACAGTTCCTATTTATCGCCATGTAACCATC